AAGATGTTTTGAGAAGACTAGGGCTAGGCCAGCAGGTGGCCTGGAGGTTAAGGTGGCTGCATCCCAAGTGGGGGACAACACAGACTAAGTCTCATACCAGGTGGCTGAAAAACAGCTGGCACATATGCATGCCCAAAATCCTAAGAAGAGAATGGAGAAGGAGAGACTGCCTTGTGGCCATCCCCTGGGAGGGTGTGTGTGGGGGGATTTTTTTTTTTTTAGAAGGTTTTTGCTATAGGGTGCATGCGCTGGCCAGACAGAGAGAGAGAGACAGAGAGACAGAGAGACAGAGAGACAGAAAGCGAGAAATCACCCTCCAGGGGGGATGGCCACGCCGCAATCCCTTCTCCTCCATTCTCCTCTTGTCCTCCCAGGATCTTGGGCACGCACGCACACGCGACCGGCGTGAGTTTAAGCCCCGGCGTGAGTTTAAGCCACCAGGTCCAGGACGAGAACCGTGGTGGACTACGTGGGAGTCCAGCGACATAGCCATTACACCAACTGCCACCGCCCCCACCGTGGCCAACATAAGTGCCCTATAAAGAAGACTAGGGCTGACAATAGGTGCAAAGCATAACATCACCAGATAAAAAGATGCGGTCTAACTGCAAACACGCAAGAGATACAGAATCACACGCTTACAAGCTCCTGCCTTCAGTTATCCTTAATCCGAAATCGACTTTCTTCTTCCTATCCAGGCTTCCCGATGACCCCCCAATGAGGTGTTCTGCACTTATATTTCTATTTGGTGACGGGCAAACTCCACGAGCAGCCCCAGAGCTTGCACACTCAGTAAGGTCAGAACCAAGGACACCAGACTTCCCAACTTGGAGATGCTACAACTCACAAGGAGTACTTCTTAAAAGACTCCTGAAGCACGAGACGCTGCATCGGTTCTCTAGGAGAAAAACCTGGGTAGCCGTTTGACTCACAAGCATCCTAAGTGAGTCTTACCGATCTGCCAAGTTTGGGAAATTATTCAATTAAACCAACTTGGGGGTGGGTGGAGGGGTTCAGACAACTTACAGGTTTAACAATCAGTGGGCTCGGGTACCCGCCCCCCAAGCTATCGTGCTTGGCTGTCAAGTACCCTCTAAGACCGAAATTACAGAGGGACTGAAATTCAAGGTCACAACCGGCTACTGGGTAGAAACGGATCTCGGATCAGGTGTCCCGGGCCCGAGCCCGGGGCTCTTCCTCTCCTCAGCGCGCTGTCGCCGGAGCTGGCTGCGCGAGAGAAAAGGCTGCCCGGCCAGGGCGGGAAGCCACCGCGTCGGGGACCTGGGCGGACTGTGCCGGCCGCGGCCGCTCACCCCAGCTTCTCGGGTCATAGCCGCCTAGGAACCTCAGCCGGGCTAAGTCCTCACCGAGGGACGAGGATGGGAAACGGGAGGATGTGGGGATGAGGGTGCGCCGGGAGGGGACGGTTAGGAAAAGTCGGGCTCTCAAGTGCCCCAAAATGCGCTCACCTGCCACCGGGGTCTACTCCCGGTTCCTCCACGACCGCCGACTCTGTGCCACGCGCCTCTCGCGAGAAGAAGAGCGAGAACGAGGCCGCGCAAGGAGGGCGGAACTGGCTGCACTGGTCCTGACGCTGCCTGTCGCTCCGCTGTTCGGCGACTTGCCCATTTCCAAGATGGCGACGGCTGCGGCGGGGGCAGGCGCGGGCTGGAGGCTCCTGCAGCTGCGGTGCCTGCCCGGTGAGGGGGGCGACTAAATCGGGGAGCGGGGAGGAGCAGGGAGGGAGCGCGAGGCCCGGTCGGGCTGGGCGCGGGGTGGAAGAGACCATCTCGGCCCCTGTAAGCAAGGTGAGGTGAAGGGCATCCGTGCGGAGCCCGGTGTCCATCTAGCCCACCGATCCGCTCCGGTCTCCAGTCTTTAGCGGTGAGGGGCGAGCGCAATGGAGCAGGGCCTGTCACCCCCATTTCAAGGAGTTTACGGAGCTCAGAGAGAATTGGGGGTGCTAAGGGTCACATATGGATAGCTCGTGGGTTGCAGACCTGGCAGGCGCGGATGATTCTCAAGTCCACTGCCGAGTCCCTGGGCCAGGACCACTGGAGGCACAGTTGGAAACCCGCACCGAGGGCTCCTATCATCATTGCTTCCCCAAAGTCAGTCATTTCCCCCTCACTAGTTCTGTGATGTTTTCTTCCTACCTCTGCCGCTGTGCACTGAGTGTTTTTATTTCTATGTCCGAGTTCTTGACAATATAGATCTTTACCTAAAGAGGAAACTTTATATCACTGCCGTAGATCGAAAACCAGTTATCAGCCATAAATGGAATGTGTGCATTGACACATTAACGTAAATAGGTAACTAGTAAGATATAGTCTGTGTGCACCCAAAATCTCAGGAACCCTAGTGGTTCCACAGTCATACCTTGGAACTTTTCAGTGATGGCTATGTGCTTTATTTACCACATATACTCAAGTATTGGTGTTTTACCCCTACTTTCCTGTGTTTCTTTGAAAATCATTATTCCCAGGGGAAATTCTGTTGGTTTTTTTTTTTCTTTTCTTATTTTTGCTATAGGGTGTATGTGCTGGCTGGAGAGAGATAGTCAGGGAGAAAAAGTGAGAAAGCACCCTACAGCAGGGATGGCCACATTGCCATCCTTACTCCTCTTGAGATTTTGGGCTCACACATACACAACACACATACAAGAACCCAGCATGTTTTACAAGCTGCCAGGTCTAGGACTTGAACCACTTGGTCCACCACATGGAATCACTTGAGATTCTGTAGGGGTTTTTTTCCGTCCAAAGAAGTGTAGTAATGCGAATTACTTTTAGGTTTTTACCCAAGAGAAATGACTGCATGTGTACAAAAGGTTTGTAGTATAGGGAACCAGCAGTTGGCGTAATGGCTATGTCGCTGGAGTCCCATGTAGTCCACTGCAGTTCGCGTCCCGGACCCGGTAGCTTGAAACTCATGCCGGGCGCTTGTGCATGCATGCCCAAGATCCCGAGAGGAGAATGGAGGAGAAGGGACTGCGGCGTGACCATCCCCCCTGGGGGGTGATTTCTCACTTTCTGTCTCTATGTCTCTCTCTGTCTGTCTGGCGAGCGCACGCGCCCTATAGCGAAAAACCTCTCTAAAAAAATTTAAAAAAAAAAAAAAGGTTTGTAGTATATTCATAGAACTTTATTTGTAATAGTCAAACACTGAAACGGCCCTAGTGGCCATCAACAGAAGAATAGTGTTTCTTAATGGAATACTACTTGGCTATAAAGGCTATTGGTCTATCTGAGGCCGGCAGGTGGCATGGTGGTTGGTGGCGGTGTACTACCACATGGCCGACCGAGGTTCAAGTCCTAGACCTGGTGGCTTGCTTTCTCCCTTTCTCTCTCTCTCTCTCTCTGTTGGCTTGCTTTCTCCCATTCTCTCTCTCTCTTTCTCTCTCTCTCTCTTTCTTCCTCTACAGTGAAATTAAAGTAAATAAATAAAAGTAAGGTTAAATAAAATAATTCTGTAAAAAAACAAAACTATTGGTCCATCAGTGGTAAGCCAAGTTGGACGCTCATTAAAGTCCTAAGGACTGATTTTATCAGTAATACCTATGTCTATGAGGAAAAGAGTCCAGTATGAACTGAACTCAACTTTGGTTTGTGCACAGATAATTTGGCATTTTAAAAGGAAAATGAGGAAGGAGGGAAAGGGCTAGATAAAGGCTCTGTAGAGAGAGGCAAGTGGAAAATTACAAAGGGTTAGTATTAATACGATTGGCTAGGAGTCTGTCTTCCACTGGAGACTGGGAGACAGGCTCTGTCCTCAGGTGTTGAACTGGAACAAACAGTACAGTTTTTGACAGCCTAGAGTTTTCTTTGGCAGGTATTTTGAAGGAGGCTAGGGTTATCTTAGTGATAGGGCCTTGAGCAGCTAGAAACTATGTTCGTGTGTGTTCAAGCCTCTATAGGCCAAGGTTGAGGCCTAGTTAAGGGGCCCAAAGAAGTCTTGCTAGAGTTCGGTCAGAGAGAAAATCTTTGTCAGATCTACTGACTTATGCAAAAATACGAATCAGACTCAAAAAATATACTAAAGCCAGCCAGTGGCACAGTGGTTAAGGCAGCTGGATCCCACATGACCAACTGTCCATTTGAGTCCTAGGTCCAGAGGCTTTGAAAAACACACTGGATGTGTGTGCATGCATGCCCAAAATCTAAAGAGGAGAACGAAGGAGAAGAGGTTGTGGGGTGGCTATCCATTCTTTGGGGTGCTTTCTTACAGTATCTGTTTCTCTCTGGCAAGCACACATGCTCTGTAGCTAAATTTATATATATATATATACACACACACACACACACACACACACACAATACGCATGTGCTAAGTGAAAGAAGTATATTACCCAAAAAAATACATTTAGGTGAAATTCTAGGTCAGGCAAAAATAACACAAGCAAAAACTAACCTAGGATGAAAAAGTCAACAGGATGGGTGGAGAATGACCCAAAGAGCATAAAGGATCTTTCTGAGATGACAGTAATGTTCTCTGTCTAGGTAGGGTTCAGGTTATACAAGTATGTACATTTATAAAAGCGCAGTGGTAATACTTAAGATTTGTCTATGTCATGGTTTATAATTGACACCTCAAGAAAAGAACCGTAAGGGACCAGCAGTTAGCGTAATGGCTATATCGCTGGACTCCCATGTAGTCGACTGTGGTTTGAGTCCCAGACCTGGTGGCTTAAACTCATGCCGGATGCAGGTGCGTGCATGCCTAAGATCCTGAGAGGAGAATGGAGGAGAAGAGATTGTGGCGTGGCCATCCCCCCTGGGGCGTGATTTCTTGCTTTCTGTCTCTCTGTCTGTCTCTCTGTCTTTCTGGGGAGCCCACTCGCCCTATAGCAAAAATCTCTCCAAAAAAAAAGAAAAGAACAGTAAAGGGCCAGCAGGTGGCGTGGTGGTTAAGGTTGCTGAACTCCCACATTGCTGACTGCTGTTTGAATCCCAGACCTGGTGGCTTTCTTTTTTGCTTTCCCTTTCTCTCTCTTCCTCTATTTCTCTCTGGTCAAATTAAAATAAATAAGTAAAGTTAAATATAATAATTCTTTAAAAAAAAAAAACAGTAAACATCGAACTCTCATTAATGATGTTTAGAGACAAAGAATATGGAGATTCCCGACAAATGCATCAGCCAAGGTGGATGAAGGAAGAGCATGATAAATAGATGTGTAGGACCTAATGGGGGTCATATAACCGTTGGTCCCACAAGTCTTTCAACATGTCTGTGTGTTTGAAAACTTCTATAATGTTGAGGATAAAAAAAAATAGTAGTGTGTGTTTGTGCCTAGGAAACACTACTAATCTTTCCTAAAGTAAGTGGGGGTGTTGTAGACATGAAGAATCTTCCGAAAGTTCATGGAAAGTATGTATTATGAAAAAACTGCAAGGATTTCAAAAAGTTTTGTGCCAAAATAAGCTATTACTTTAACTCCATTTTCCACAGACTTTCCGATGAGTCCTGAAACTCTTGCCCTTAGATTGCAAATGAGAAAGCAGATAGAGATTAGTGACTTGCTTAGAGACACCATGTAAGTTCTGGAAGAGTCAGTACCGAGAGCTTATTCTTTTCCTCCAGGGCTCTTGCCAAAATATATAAACTTTTAAGTTGCTTTCTTTCTTTCTTTCTTTTTTTAATTATTTTCTAAATAACTTTATTTATTTATTCATTTATTTAAATTTGACCAGAGAGGGACAGCACACATGTGTGAGAGAGAGAGAAAGTGAGAAAGCAAGCCTCCAGGTCTGGGATACAAACCACAGTCAGCCACATGGGAGTCCAGCACCCTTAACCACCATACCACCTGCTGGCCCCAGTTGCTTTCTTTTTAAGTTTTGCTGTAACCTGAAAGACAGAGAAAGAAAGTGAAGGGACCAGCAGTTAGCGTAATGGCTATGTCTCTGGACTCCCATGTAGTCAACCGCAGTTCAAGTTCCGGACCCAGTGGCTTAAACTCATTCCAGGTGCGTGTGCGTGCTTGCCCAAGATCCCAAGAGGAGAATGGAGGAGAAGGGATTGTGGCGTGGCAATCTCCCCTGGGGGGTGATTTCTCGCTTTCTGTCTCTCTGTCTCTCTCTGTCTGGCGAGCGCACACACCCTATAGCAAAAACCTCTCCAAAAAAAGAAGGAAAAGAAAAAGTGAAAAACATTCTGGGGGGGTGGTGGCCTCACTACAATCCCTTCACCATTCTTTTCCTAGCGTTTTGGGCACAAACGCACACACACCCAGCATATTTTTCGAGCTGCTGGGTCCAGGTCCATGGAGTCGTCCTTATGGAATCCCGTGCCTTAACCTCATACCACCTGCTGGCTCAAATTGCTTCACTATTTTATCGGATCTCACAATACTCTCATTGAGCTAGTAGAGATTATTACTCTTTTTTTTTTTTCTTAAAGAGAGATTTTTGCTGGGGCCAGCAGGTGGCATGGTGGTTAAGGCACTGGGCACTCGCACATAGCTGACTACAGTTCAAGTCCCGGACCTGGTGGCTTGCTTTCTCACCTTCCCTCTCTCTTGCTCTTTCTCTCTGTGTCTCTCTGATCAAATTAAAATAAATGAATAAATAATTGAAATAAATAACTATTTTAAAAAAGAAATTTTTGCTCTAGGACATGTGTGCTCACCACATGCCCTAGAGAAAGAGAGACAGAAAGTGAGAAATCATCCCCTGGGGGTTGGTCGCTCTGCAGTCACTTCTCCATTCTCGGGATTTGGGGCATATACACACATACACCTGGCATGAGTTTAAATCCACTGAGTCCAGGACTCAAACTGCGGTCGACTACGTGGGAGTCCAGCAACGTATCCATTACGCCATCTACTGGTATTGAGATTATTGCTCTTAAATTGGCAGATTTCAAAGTCTACACATTGGTGTGAAATGGCTTGCCCATTACACATAACAAATGATAGAAACGGGCCGAGAAGCCAGATAGGTCTTCTGTTCCCTGGCTCACCACTTTTGCCACCACATCATGTTCCAGGGTTTCCAGTTTACCCAAGATTTTTGTGTGGGGCTCAACATTTGGGTAAGTGATTCTGGAGGAGTCGCTGCCCTGGTTTTCCTCCTCCTGTCTGTATTATCACCCTGGGTCTCAAAGGATCTTCTTTGGGGGATGTCCTTGGCTAACTAGCCTAGTTTTCTGTTTCAGTGTCTCGTTGCCGACCACCCCTGGTGGCACGTCCCTTCCATGTGTCAGCTGTGGGGCTCAGGTCTTCAGAGGAGCAGAAGCAGCAGCCTCCCCCCTCTTTTTCTCAGCAGCATTCTGAGACACAAGAGGCAGAAAAACCCCACCCAGAGTCTTCTCGTTCACCCCCCAGGTAGGCACTAGAACCTCAATCCACTGGTCTGTGGTCACTTTGCATGCTTGGGTATATCTGTTACTCCATTTCCCCCCTCCTGTCCACAATCCCTTTCCATTCCTCCTCTTGCAATTTTATGTATGCACACACATATGGCTGGCATGTTTTTCAAGCCACCCAGGTATGGGACTCGAACTGCTCAGACAGCCATATGGTATCCAGCAACCTTAACTACCACACCACCTGCTGACTCCCCCTCTTCACCTTCCATCTTTTCCAAGACTATCTTTTTCTTTTTTTTTTTTCC